AACATTTATTCAAATATAAGACTCTTCTTTATGATCTTTGAAAAGTCAGGTGGTCTTCTGGAATCCATTGGACTATATGAACTGATGGGAGAATTTATGATACCTAAAGGAAATTCCTTTACTGGACAACTAAAGTCTTTCAATGAAATGTTGCTACCCTATAAAATCTACTCATTACTAATTGGACCATGTACTTAAGCAGTGATTGCATAGCCCTATCTGTGCTAAAGGTGTAGAATATTATGCACACAGATTAGAAAATACACAAAAGAAAAATTTAGAAAGTGTGAAGAGAAATAAATTTAAGTGAAAATTCTAAGACTCTAAGCTTTATCCCAAGGGACCTTCTTGAACACAACTTGCATCCCGCTTTGATATTACTGCACCTGATCAATGGCATATACAATAACCCTCTGTAACCAGGAGGCTTCTTCTCTGTTGATTGATATGGCCTCTTTGGCTTTCAAGCGTTCCATGTTTTCTATAATTACAATTTGGTTTGCTGTCCAAAGTCAAGACAGCAAGTAATGCTATCAATAATTGATTGGCCTTGGGCACCCTATAGGAAAGTCATGTTATCAAACAATAGCCAAAGTAAGTTTATACATATATTGCTTTTAATCTGGGAATAGTTACTGTTCCTTGTGTCAAGTCTTGAGTTGAGTAAAAAATATTTCAAATGATGTTACATGCACCACTAAGATGTGAAGTACAAATAGTTCCTTATGAGATTAAAAAATCTAGGCTTCATTCTCACCCTTCCAGAATTCTCTCTCTCTCTTTCACACACACACCCCTGCATACCTAAGAAAAAATTTTATATCTAAGTGTTCTAGGTTTTCACATGTGAAGCCTTATTGAGGATTCTGATTATTGTCCCCTGTGCAGAAGCTATTTTTCTACACTAAAAGTACATTATTTTGTCTCAATGGCTTTTGGGGAAAAAATGGATATAAATAAAGAAGACATATAAATGAAGTTCCCATATAAAATTTTATATGTCTTGTTCCTCAGATAAAATGTGTGACACACTACCATCCGTCCAGTGAGTTCTGGGCTCTTTGTGTTCCCTAGGGAAATGGCACAAGGTCTTCTTGAGTGCAGATTATGCATTCAGATCTGTGATTTAGTGGAACAGTGTGTAAAAATCTCTCATAATCAGAACACTCCCTATTGGCTCTACATCTGAAGATCCCCCAGAGTGCTATTTGTCCCAGTGAACATCTGGAATAGATTATATGCATTAATTGGCTCCAGGTCGAGCTTGTTACAGACAGTAGCATGCAGTGTAACCTATGCAATTCACTATCCACCCACGTTGGGTTAAATCACACCTACTTCTCTCCGTAATTCCTCCCAGATGCAGAACACACACACTTGTGTGTGCACACAAAACACACACACCCAAACACACACTGGAAGAGAGCAAAATATCAATAGTTGAGTGCAGAGTTTGTTGGCAAGACATTTAGCCCATAAATTATCTCAATTAAAAGATTAACTATTGAATTCAAAGGATTGTTGGGAAGAAAAACAAAGAATCATATGTGAGCAGCAGATCATAGGGAGTGACTGCTTTATAGCAGAAAAATATTTAACATTTAAGAAAAGTTATAGCAGTTTTAGGAGTTTAGCTCCGCTTTGTTCCTCCCCCTTAGTATATGTTTCAGCACGTGGAGGCACTTATCAGAATGTTGTGGTAGTAAAGAAAGCAGTGCTTTGATTTTTAACTTATTTAACAATATTAATGAGTTGGGTTACAAGGAACAGTGTGACTACTGTTCACTGAAAACTAAAACATCAATCTTGTTAACTTACGATGTTGGAGGCACAGGGCATGTCTTAGCGATTAATGACCAGTTGGAGGAGTAGATATCTCAATACATAGCCAAGGGCCATTAACCCCAACCAGTCATTAATTCTCAGGAAATGTCCTGTACTGAGGTCATTATTGCTAATAAAATGCACATATGGAAAGTTCCTTCTCTTTTGCTTATGTACATAAACATAGATTCCATTACATGCATTGTTATATGTCATTTTGAAAAAAGTAGTATTTCACATGTCCAGAAGCTGAGCAAAGCTAAGCCTAATGAGAAATTTAATACTCAGTTCTTTACATTTGATTTGTCTTTCACAGGTTATGGTGGGAGGAAGAACACATGTTTGTATGTTGAGGCTGTAGGTCTGCCTGGAATAGGATGCCAGGGGTCTGCTAACATGTGGATACAGGGAAAAGTGAAAGGAACAGGGAATTGGGATTAGAGAAGCACTAATGAATTTGCTTCCAGCATGTGTGATTGAATTTCAAAGGCAATATGGAGTGATGCCTTGTTTTGAGTGATAATATATGAGGACCGGAACAGACATGATCAAACTGAAAATTTAGCTCAATTTCCTTTTTGGTGTCTCCGCTCTTCCACCTTATGGATTATGCTATTCTCTTTCTTCCTTCACATGGCCATCAAACCAAGTCTATCACGCCGCCAGCCTTGCTGTTCAGGAGCACATAACCAGGTTGCACTGTTTTCTGGAACTTTTTCTGTTTTCTTTCTATTCCTCTTTCTCTGTCCTCTGTGAACCTAGGATTATTTTGTTAAAAACTATTTGATGCTCCTTTGGATTGTCTTCTACAGTATCACATAAATATCCAAATTTTAGAATTATTTTATGGAGCTTTACTTGTTTATAATCAACCACCTCTTTCATAAAATAATCTTATATATTTTCATCTTAATAAATGATTGATGATTGGGTATGGGTGGTAATGACTGATAAGAATATATTTTATGTGTTCAAATATCACAAGCTACATAAAGATGCATACATATATAAAAATATGAATATATAAAATTTATGATGGTATTTGCATAAGAGCAGTACATTTTTGAGGAGAATCTGTAAGTCAATGAATACATTTGTTTTTTTCTGGTATAAATGACAAACTAAAAAGTTGCAAGAATGCATTTCTTTAGAGATTAAGTAATTTAAAACTTACATAATTCAAATCTAATCTTATAAATATTTTCTATAGATCAGCTAAAGTGAGTATTTTCTGGGAATAATGTAAATATGTCTTTTGCTCATTTTCAAATAATATAATTTTTTAGACATTATTTCACATAGGTTATGCAGAGACCTTTAGAGGTGACTACTATTAAAATATGAACAATTGAAATTTTAAAAACTTCAAGAGAACTTTTGGGCAGAAGGATGTTCCTGATATTTCTCAAATTATTTCTAATTAGGCAAAACCTTCAAAAATGTCAAGTAAATATGAATAAAATATGTGAAATATGCATATTTAAGAAAATATCCTTAATCAATTTCATTATTTGCATATGCAGTAAACTTCTTAAAGAAGAATTAAATATTCACTGATTATACAAAAAGAATAATTTGGCAATCTGTATAGGTATCTTTGAGGGTAATGAAAATACTCTGTAATTGTGAAAACATAATTTATTAAGCATTTGTGTTCAACATTTTATGAAGAAGTGAACAAAATTTGAAGTCTAACCTTATGTTTGTCCTGCATAAACATAAATTAAATATACCTTGAATTTGATCTTATTTTACTTTCCCAGATTAATCTTAACTTCTGAAATTCTAAGATTTATCATAATTGGAATCTTGATATTCAAAGTTGGTGAGGCATTTTAATACATTGAAGAATTAATCTTGCCTGGGAAAAGTGTACCTTTTATTAGATCTTTTCTGAAAACTATACTGTATCCACATAAAATATTTATTTTGAATATTAAATAATTAGAAAATTACTTAAAATCTAGTACTTTTTTATTATGGCTAAGCCTATCCCCAAGAAAGCATAGAAATTATTTGAACACAGTTAAAGCAGGTATCACATACATCCTGAATCCTCCCTAAAAACCAAGATATCCAGTTATGATCTCTGAGTTATCTCCTAGAAAAATGCCACTAAGTCAATGGAGAAGGAAGGTAAGTCGAAGACTCTATGGAGAGTTTAAGGTCACTTGATTGTACTATAATGAAAAGCAGCCAAAACCTTAGATGTGAAGAAGCAGAAACTATGGCTAAAGTCCTGATTATATGTTGTTTTGATCCATCTCTTCTTGCCATGTGACCTTCGAAGAACTATTGCACTAGGTACCCCAGTATCCTCACCTCTGAAATGAGATAAATAATTACCTGCCCTTGGTCATCATTAGGATTAAATCATTTGATTTATGTAAAGCACCTTTTGGTAAGCATCTGGTACATATACTCAATAAGTATTAAAGTAATTTTTATTACTAGTTTTAGTTTCAGTTATGTTTTTAGTTCAGTTTTTATTTACTCCACATCTTAAGGAAAACAACTCAATCTGCTTATCTATGGCAACCTATTAATAACCACTTCTTCCCCAATATCAACTCTTATATTTTACTATTTGTTTTTCTAACAATGCTGCCTCATGTGGAATAGGATAGGGAGGAGGTAAGAGTGCATTGTCCCTGTCCTAACATCTATGCGGGTGGCCCTGCTCTGATCTTATCCAATTTCCCCAATTTCAGTGAACTTTTAAAATCAGAAATAAGAAAACTCCCTCAAAATGACAGCTTTCTCTCTAGGGATGATATGGAGTGAGAGTATGCTTGTACCAGTGCTTGTATCTGAAATAAGAATTCATCAAATTATGGGAAAGTTGGTTCTTCCCACATTTGCATTTGCAAAAATGTTAGAAGAGGAAGAGAGAGTCATTAACAAAATAGTTGAATTTCTAGTAGTGCATTCATTTCTTTCTTTTTTTTTTTCCGGTGCATTCATTTCTCCATCTGAGTAATGCCAGTCCTAAATTTTATTACTCAGTTCTGATTCATTTCCTCTGCAATAATTCTGTATGAGCTAAATAAGAAAGAAGGAAATACTATTTTTTAAAATCTATATACATTCAGAAAATTATAATTTAATAACCCCAGGAAAATATGCCAATTGCTGTCTAAATAGTCCTAATTTTATTTTTTTTTTTTTAGATTAACCTTGTGTGAAAGAGAGCATTGTTTTCATCATGAATTCTAAAAAAGATGAGAGACCAAAGTCCAGAAGCCAAGATTGTCACCTTTTTCTTGCTTTGATGATGCTAAGCATGCCCATGCTGTTTCTTCCAGTCATTGGAACTTCCAAGCAAAATATTCCACGACTCAAGCTAACCTACAAAGGTAAATATGTAAATATTTTATAGTGTTTATTAAGATTTTTGAATATCTCTTCAATCACTTTTTATTTACAAATGAGTTACTGCTGTAAAATGTTTAGATTATTGGTGTAGTTAATAAAAATATCATGATAGAATATAAAGACTATTTTTGTGAGAGAAAGGATACGAAAGCTAGTCAAGTACACTTTTCAGCCCAGTATTTATAGATAATCAATTTGGTCTAAAAGCTATAATCATTTTACATTAAAACAAATAAGTCCTTGACAATTGAAAACTGTTAACTAATCTCACATTACTGCTACTAATTACTTTATTCATATTTAGAGGGAATTTAAAAAAAAATACAGGAAAGATATCTTCCAAAAATATTAACATACTAAGATAGCTTTATGACCTCAAGTATATATATGTTTATAACAGAAAATAGACAGTGTGGGCCAGGCATGGTGGCTCATGCCTGTAATCCTAGCACTCTGGGTGGCCAAGGCAGGTGGGTACTTGAGCTCAGGAGTTCAAGACCAGTGAGAACAAGAGTGAAACCCTGCCTCTAAAACAATAGCCCAGCATTATGGTGGGCACCTGTAGTTCCAGCTATTCGGGAGGCTGAGACAACAGGATGGATGAGCCCAAGCATTTGAGGTTGCTGTGAGCTATGACATCACAGCGCTCTACTGAAGGGGACAAAATAAGACTCTGTCAAAAAAGAAAGAGAAAGGAGATAGAAAATGTTAAAGCTTTAAAATATGAAAACATGAAAAACTTTTTTAGAAAATGAAATTTGTTAAGCAAATTATTTTTATGTGTTTAAATTAATATTAAAGCAAAATTTGTAAGAGTTATAGGCAGCCATTTGTGTGCGTGTCTAAGTTCTACTCCCAGAGCTTTATTTTATGGTTTTGTTTTCTTTTTTATGGTGTACTCTGGACTTCATTAATACCTCGAGTAATGGTATAAACCATTGACAAATGGTATAGAGGGGAAATCAAATTTCTTTATTTTGAACTTGGCAGGTAAAAATTATGTTGGCAATTTTAATATATTCTGATTTGGGTGGTGACATTTTATAGCCAAATTGAATATCAGTAATAAACCTAATTGAATGTCATGCATAAAAGTGAAATTAGGACATTATTTCTGCATATTCTATCTCTTGGTATTCATTTGAAATCTATACTTCATGTATGAAAGAGTTGGATATTTTATATTATTTTTGAAATTTATGTACACACATGTATAAAAGTCACTTAAATTTGAAGTATATTTATTGGTAAACTATAATAAGATTTTTATCCAGGGGCATTGACTTTATTATAATACATAGTTGATTATTTTTTTATTTAATCAATAATTTAAATTTATATTTGGTTATTTGGTTGTCATTCATTTCTTAATTAGGTATATATTCCTTTATATGTCATTCTGCTAAAATTTTCTTGGCTTCAAGTGAACATTAATAGTAATGGTAATGTACTGGGTACAAATAAAAAGTAAAGTCAAGGCTTCTATCCATATCAGAGCAATTAGTACTGCATCATACCTTCTGTCCTAAACAACTATGCAGATGTACAAACTACATGAAGCAACCACTTTTAGACATTGAGCAATAGTTAAAAGGGATGGGAGAAAGAAACCATCTAAGGGCGAAGCTGAAAAAGGTTTGGGCCAAACAGAAAATTTGTGAGCTAAGCTGATATTCTGGCGGTTAAAGAGAGATGAGAGTTCTGCCCAACCAGAATTGAAAGACCTTGCCAAACACCTTGGGCACACAGACAACATGCTTCAAATGTCAAATTTTAAGATCTAAGCTACCCTATTTCTACAGCATACTCAATTCTGCCTTTAAAACTTAAAAATCTTCCTTGAAAGGTTGTGTATGATCTGCCAATAAATTAAACATTCTTATTTAAAAAAAAAAAAAAACTTGACAGTTCATTAGGTAAGAAAATGCAAACAACCATATCCTCAACACTTTAGTACCCATAATGTCCAGAAAAAAAACAAAAGTTACTAGACATACAAAGAACAGGAAAATTTAATGATAAGAAGGAAACATACAGCTAATGTGAACCAAATTTGAAGTGATACAGATGTTCATGTTAGCAGACAAGGACTTTAGAACATCTATTGTAAATATTTTCAAGGGTTTAAAAGAAAATATTATTAAAGGGAATGAACAGGGAATATCAGCAGAAAAGTGAAAACTATAAAAAATAATTAAATGGAAATTCTAGAGATGAAAAATATATCTGAATTTAAAACCTCACTATCCAGGTTGCAAATTGGAGGTAGCAGAGCAAACTAAACACAGAGAAATAGGGGCCATCCAATATACAAAAAACTCTATGATTTTTCATGCATCTATAATACACTCCTTTAAACTAAAGCTGTATCTACAAAGCTCCTTGAGAAAAGCCCAGCTAGTTCTTGAGCTTTCTTTGTGGCTATCACAATTTCTTTGAAGTTTTTATAAGCCTATTGTTTAACACGATAATCTTTAAAGCCATACCTTTTGGGATTTTGTTATGGAATTGCTCATTCTTAAAACTAAAATATAATTTGGGTATCTATTTCTGTATAACAAGTCACCTTAAAAGTCAGTGTCTTGGTAAAACAATTATCTCTCTCACATTTTGATGAATTTGGGAAGGGCTCAGCAGGGTGGTTCTGGCTTGCGCTGTTTAATGGCGTTGCAGTCAGATGATGGCTGAAAGTGGAAAAGTATGGATCTGGAGCTGGCTAACACTTCTCTTTGTATGTAATCTCAGGGAGCCTTTCCACATAAAAATTCTTGGCTTCCTCAAAGCCAACTCAGACCTCAAGTGTATGTGTTTCAATAAACAAGAAGGAAGTTGTATTACCTTTCTTGACCAAGCTTCTGAAGTCATGTGGCATTACTTCCAGGCTATTCTATTGGTTGAAAAGTGATAAAGCCTTATTCAATCCAAGAGGAAAGCATATAAACTGTACATCACATACACAAGGAGCTGTAGCATTGGAGGTATCATGGATATCTTTATAAAATACAATCTGCCACAATTTACATTTATATAATCTCTTCATTTATATAAAAGGCACTATGCAAATCATTGTGGACAGGTAATCATACTGAAACACCTTGATGACAATACATAAAAAAAGAATTTTGACCAGGCTCTGGGTCTCATTCCTATAATCCTAGCACTTTAGGAGGTCGAGATGGGAGGATTGCTTGAAGCTGGGAGTTTGAAATCAACCTAAGCAAGAGTGAGATCCTGTCTCTCTGAAAAATAGAAAAATTAGCCAGGCATGATGACATGGTCCTGTAGTCCCAGCTACTTGGAAGGCTGGGGAGAATCTGTTGGCCCCAAGAGTTTGAGGTTGCTGTGAGCTATAATGATGCTACTGCATTATAACCCAGGAGACAAAGTGATAATCTGTCTCAAAAAAATTTTTTTTAAAAACCAAAACATAAACAAACAACAACAACAACAAAAAAAACTCCAAAGAAGCTCAGTCTTACCCTAGACCTCACACAAAAAAGTGATTCAAAGTGAATGGATCATAAACCTGAAGCTAAAAGCTAAAATTCTTTTCTAAACATTTTAGAATAAATGATAGAATAGGAGCTTTGCAACCTCTAAAGGCACACACAAAAATAGCCATAAAATTTTTAAAACTAGATGTTATCAAAAAAAATTTTTCTTTTTTTGAGACAGAGCTTCAAGCTATCCCCCTGGGTAGAGTGTCATGGCATCACGCTCACAGCAACCTCCAACTCTGGGGCTCAAGCGAGTCTCCTGCCTCAGCCTCCCAAGTAGCTGGGACTACAGGCGCCCGCCACAACGCCTGGCCATTTTTTGGTTGCAGCCATCATTGTTGTTTGGCGGGCCCGGGCTGGGGATTCGAACCCGCCACCTTAGGTGTATGTGGCTGGTGCCTTAGCCACTTGAGCCACAGGTGCCGAGCCAATGTTATCAACATTAAAACAAAATTCTGCTTACCAAAAACACAATGATGTCTCTTAATGAAGAAAGGGAACAGAAAAAAGAAAAGGCAAACTATAAAATATTCATAAAAATTATATCTATACCTGATAAGCTATTGGGTACCAAGAACACTAGTCTGGTGATGGACATACTAAAGGCTACAACTTAATCATTTACAAAAGTATCCATGTAACAAAAACATTTGCCCCCCCCTTAATATTTTGAAATTAAAAAGAAACCAAAAAAAAAAATCTTATATGTAAGCAAAGACTTGAATTCAGAATATATCTCAAACAAGGCTCACCCATAGCACAGTAGTTATGATGCTTGCCACATGCACCAAGGCTGGTGGGTTTGACCCAGCCTGGACCAGATGAACAACAATTAACAACTGCAACAAAAAAAATAGCTGGGGGTTGTGGCAGGCACCTGTAGTCCCAGCTACTTGGGAGGCTGAGGCAAGACAATCGCTTAAGCCCAAGAGTTTGAGGTTGCTGTAAGCTGTGATGCCACAGCACTCTATGAGTGCAACACAGTGAAACCCTGTCTAAAAAAAAAAAAAAAAATTGATAAAGTCTTCAGTATGTATCTCAAACAAATTATCAATTTGTACAGGGTAAATGTTGAAACTGCCACTTTACAAAGGAGGATGTACAAAGAACCAGAAAGAAAATGAAACAGCTAGACATTATGAATCATTAGGTATATACAAATTAATATTAGAGTAAAACACTCCTACATATCTATTGGAATAGCTAAAAAGAAACATTGACAATATTGAATATTGGGCAATCTGTGGAACAGTTTGAGCTTGCAAACATTGCAACATTGGAAAGTTTTGAGCAGTTTTTTGTGGTATTAAAAATATGATTGCTATTTATCTGGAGTTCTACAGCAGAAAAACTCATCAGTGGTTTAAAAAAAAAAAATTAGAAGAGTTGCTTTTATGGAGAGCCAGAAAGGGTTGACTAGAAAGAGTAGGAGATGAAACTTTCTGGGATTATGAAAAGGTTCCCTGTTTTCATAAGGGTGTGGA